TATCAAAATCCAAGATGGCTGCCTGTCGGCCATGTTGTTTATCCGATCAGTCTCAAAAGTTGCCCTGCACAGCTAAGGACCAAGGGGAACCTGCATATAAAATTTGAGAAAGATCCCTCTGGTACTTCTTGAGAAATACCGATAACAAGAATTGTTTACGGACGGACGACGGACGACGGACGGACCACTGACCACGGATGCAGGGTGATTTGAATAGCCCACCATCAGATGATGGTGGGCTAAAAATTGATTGTATATTACGTTGGCATTACTAACTCAGAATTAGAAAAATGTGTGACTGTGGGGGGGAACAATTAAATCAGCTAGATCTATCAACATTTTAACACAGACTCCTCATGTTCTTGTTTAGTGGTATAATGGATGCAGCTTCAGGTTTTTTATGATGTACAGGTTATATGATATAACATAAATCAAGAAATTTGGTTTGCCTACTGTGGTATATACCAGAACACCACCTGGTTTACCTTGGTCTGTGGTATAACAAAACACCACCTGGTTTACCTTGGTCTGTGGTATACCAAATACCATATGGTTTACCTGGGTCTGTGGTATACCAGAACACTACATCAGGTTTACCTAGGTCGATCGTCTGTGGTATACCAGAACACCACCTGGTTTCCCTGGGTCTGTGCACGTGGTATACCAGAACACCACATCAGGTTTACCTAGGTCGATCGTCTGTGGTATACCAGAACACCACCTGGTTTCCCTGGGTCTGTGGTATACCAGAACACCATGTAGCTGGTTTGCCATTTGTGGACATACGATACAGTATGATTTTTGTGGTAATATAATTGCTTTTTTGATACCCTTCATAATCTCATCTGATTGAGGGCCATGTGGTTTCTTTGTATAGATACAGGACAAGACCGCTTTCAAAGGAAGGTGTTTTAGGATTTACCTGAGCTTCAATGGAATTAAGTTAAAGGGTAAATTAAACTATGCTTTTACCATTGTTCCTATTGTAAACTATTTGTTTAAGTCTTTTTTAAAAGAAGTGTTCCATAGAAATCACATACTGCCATGTGTTTTACAGAATTATATTTGTTCAAAATCGGAGTTTTTGAAAAATTGAAATGAAAAAAGGTAAATACAAAAACAACAGGAGTCGAACTTATGACTTTTAACAGTACACATTCCACACTTTCTCAACTTTGCAATCTAGGAATTATGCAAATGTTAAAAATGACCAATTAATGGGCCCTTAGCTTCATGAAAACCTTGACAGAGGAAGTTACTCTAAGCCAGAAAAACTCCTTTTGGGTTGCTTCCTTTACCTTAACACTGTGCATAAAAACTGTGACAAAAATGTCATTTTACTTAATGATTACTTTATGGCAGTTAAATATACTTACAATAGACTCAATCTGTTTGTAAAACTGTTTTTTTTTTATAATATAATTCTGGCAATTAACTTTTGAATTTATTTTCACCGTGATATAAATGGAAATTTCAGAAACTGTTTGATACTCAATAAATAGCCACAGAACTGCATATCTTTACAATAGTGAAATATTGGCAAATATCTGTGATCACTCATCTTTAAAATAAGAAAACAATAAAACATTGCGTCCCTTTATTGCTCTGGAATGTTTTCTTCCTGCATTTTTTCCAATTATTTATCTGATCTGTTGAACAATTCCATTCTGGTATAAATCACTATACCATACAGCAATACCAGTTTTTCTAAATAAATTGTTATGGACACAGAAACACATTAAGGAACATTTCAGCATCATTATTTGTACACCTTCTATAGCAGCGAGAGCTCGCATGAAATACAAATGTGCATAACTTTACACACAAATGCCATCAATTTTTGTGGCAGTTGCATGATTTAATCATGTAAAGTATTGGTTTTCGACAAAGCAGCAATAAATTCTATATACAAGATATTGGAACTTAACTAAAAGTCTTTCCTATTCACGAATTATATTCAACATAATGGAAATTTTCAAGTGTGGAAATTTCCTTGTTTAGATGTTCCATGTTGGAATATTTTTCAAGCTAACAATAATGCTGTAATTATATACTATACTGTAATGTGTCAGCACCTTTTTATATGAAAAATATCATCTGGATTCAAATCATACAAATAAGCAAAGATTTTCACTTT